ATTCTTCTGCCATTTAAACGCGCGATGACGCGGTGAAAACTATGCTAACGTCCCACGACGTGGATCAAAAGCTATGCCGGTCGAGGCGTATTTCAGTTTTTGGACCTATGCCCCAGATGATTTTCTTGACCGTTCCGAGTCGATCGTATTTTTAGCAGGCATCTAGATTACACGCGAGTCCGGATGAACATCCTCGCTTTCTTGTTCCTATCTCCCCACCTTCTTGATACTCTATTTTTCCTTCGCGACAAAAATCGGACTCTTTAAAATTAAACGACGCGTCACGGACGGCAATGGCCTCGACATAAAATTATGACATCGTTCGGATTCCTTGTGATTCATCATTTTGTTATTGGAAGCGGAGGTGGACTCTCGATTTGATATATGTGATTTTTGGGTGCATTGAAATATAGGGATGTTAGTATAGAATAGAGGGATGAAATATAGAGCTGAATTTGATAAGTAAATGTACTCATGTTGAAATTATGAAATTAATCATGAATTAATACATTTCTAAATTTAGTCATAGTGGCAGAATATGATGTGTCAAATGTTAATTGTGATGACTATTAGAGTAATACCTGGTATGACTGTCAACTCTTCATACATATTTATATGCATAGCATCGTTAAATAACAATTGAGGTATTTGCAATGTTACATGTAGTCATGGACCTAGTACATAACTATTAAAATGACCATCAGATGATTGATAGTAGTCATGAGATAGTTGATCATCAAATACTAGGATGGCTGCTAAATAAGGGTCACAATGATCACCAAATTAACAATAGATGATGCTAGGACTATAACTCCTAGGATTAGGTGGTTGCATTCTAAATAGACCTAGCACTGTTTGGTGTTACATGCTAGATAGTCCTAGCACTACTTACTACCACATGGTAGATAGTCCTAGCTCTGTTTACTACCACATGGTAGAGAGGCCTAGCACTGTTTAGTACCATATGCTAGATAATTGCACTGTTTAGCACCACATGCTAGATATTCTTAAGCTTATTTAGCACCACATACTAGATAGTCCTAGCACTGTTTAGTACCACATGCTAGATAGTCCTAGCACTGTTTAGTACCACATACTAGATAGTCCTAGCACTATTTAGTACCACATGCTAGATAGTCTTAAGCTTATTTAGTACCACATGCTAGATAGTCCCAGCTCTGTTTAGTACCACATGCTAGATAGTCCTAGCACTATTTACTACCACATGCTACATAGTCTTAGCTCTGTTTACTACCACATGGTAGATAGTCCTAGCACTGTTTAGCACCACATGCTAGATAGTCTTAAGCTTATTTAGTACCACATGCTAGATAGACCTAGCACTGTCTACTACCACATGCTACATAGTCCTAGCACTATTTACTACCACATGCTACATAGTCCTATCAATCTTTGATACCACATACTATATAGTCCCACAATTATTCAAAACCAATTCAATAACAATTTCACACCTAACATTTAGCACCAGTTTAACGATCCTCAGAACCAGTCTAATAATTTCATTCTCATCCATCTCTCCAAAAGTACCCCTAATCCTAAACCATTCACCTGCCAAATATTCACCTAATTAAAAAATGAATTACAAGAACAGTCTTCAATACTCTCCGTGTAGAATGTAGGGCAAGTCTGAGTCACCCGACTCACTCGGTTGAACATGGAATTCCATGGACCCGAGGGTGACGTTCAATGGGTCATTATCGTCAAGGCGATGCGTCGAGCATAAAGTAGTCCATTCCAACGGGAGTTGGCGAAAATCGGTCAAAGTCAGACTCGTCGGCTATGCTGCCTTCGTGCACAGCTTGGATGTCCACCTGTTTCCGACTAAAAACGGACCGGGGCCCGGGCAGCCTAAATATAACGACCGCGAATCCGGGACTCTTACGTCACGATGCATCGTTTGCGACCACTTAGACTTTTTCTTATTTTCCCTTTTTGTCGTTGTAAGACACATAATTTAACTTAGTATGTGCTGATCAAAGTTATACTGTATTTTGGAGATTGATAAATATTCAAGGTATTTTGGAGGTTGATAAATAAGTGTTGCATGTAGTAATCTGAATCATGTACTTAGGACATTTTGTTAATTATAATGATAACAATAAAAAATTGCAAGAAGTAATTTATGTCATTGAGGATAAAGTTTATAAGTCAGAAGGGATTCAAAAAGAGATATTTTGTAATTAAGTAGCAATGAAAAATTGCAAGGAATAATTTACAAGGTATATATGTTTAGAAGTACTTTATAAGAGTTACTGTTTTAATTGTTTACTCAAGTTTTGTTATTGCAATTGAATTATGGAATAATAATGATTGAGAGGTTCATTTGAAAAACATTCATATGTGGATATATGGAAAATTGTTACCTGAAGTCATTATAAGAATATTTCAGATCTATGAGAAGTTTGTGTGTACTGCAAAGCGAACGCGCCATTTCAAATTTCCCGCGAAAACATTCACTTCTTGATGCAACACTCAGAGCCACCTGTAACCACGCATTCACATTACTCAGCTTCTCGTCGATTTCTAACAATAAATTCAATATTCTTTAAACAGATATAATGTTATCTAAACATAAATAATTGAATTATTAAAGAAAAATGAGGAAATATTTATACATCAGTAATAATTCATATATGTTTCTGTTCGAGAATAAATTACGATAACATTAGTGACTGACGACAACTGAAAAATAAAAATACAATTTAAAAAAACACTTTAAAAGTAGAAAATAATAAAAGTAAATAAAGATAGTTTAAAATAGAAGTTTAAAAGAGCAAGAATGGTATCGATCAAGTAGCAAATATTATTGCGGTAATTGTAAACGATCACTCGTCTAGAAATAAGCATTAATAGATGACGGGTCGATTTAGATCACGTACTCCAAATATATTCCCGATGACCTTCGGTCGATCTTGCCGGGAATGAAACAGGAATACGTGCGAAACAGCTTTCGGATGATCCAGGACGGTATGAAGTACGCGTAACTAAAATTAGAGACGATGTTGCGTCAAGAAAAAGAAAAGGCGATGCTCCTGTTTGTGTCGCGGCCGTCGATTGGCTGATCCAAGGAATGCCGGGACCAATAGCGGTACACGTAATACTATTTGGTATTCAACGTTACCGGCGCGATTTTCGCGTACGACGGCCAAATTCGAACTTCCTTAACTCATTCAGACGTTTTCATTGATATTTTATTTCACATCTACTTACTTCGAATTAATCGTCTATAATTACTATTAGCGTTATTATAGCTTCATTAACTATTTATTAAATATTCTATTATTATAGAGAGAGAAATAAAAATTGTTAAAAGCAAAATTATTTAGTTATTGTTTATGACATTGAAATAGGAAATTTCTAATATAGAAATTTAGAAAATTTAAATGTAGAAATTTAGAAAATTTAAATGTAGAAATTCCAAATTTTTAAATTCTGCAAATTTTTGAAATAAATTCTTGACTATCCATAAATTTTGAAATTTACAAAAATTGATAGAGTTAGAAATTTTAATTATTATGACAAGTTTTCTAACTTATAAGTTTAGAATTTAATAACGCGAATATTCGATAATTTATAAATTGAAAAATCTGTAGATTTGAACAGTTTAAATTTTAAATTTCGCGCCATTTTCGTGTACCTGCACTACGTTCTAATGATCCCAATTGTCCATCGTTATTATCCATTTTTTACAAGCTTATAAAGACTGTTATCATACAAGCTTTTAAAGCCTCTTATTATACAAGTTTTAAAAGACTGATGAACTCGACGAAATCCTTAGGTTATTTATGAACGAAACGAAAGCAATTTGGACTCACAGATACGTAATTGCAAAATCGCGTTTAGCGAGAATGATGAAGAAATCGACCGTGAAAAATGCAGAGGATATATTTAGACAACGACACGATGCCAACAAGCAGCTTAGCGAATTATCGACGATAATTCTCGTATTCTTAGACCGTTCACTCTGTCTGGTATTACGAAACGGAAAATTGTCGAATTCGTGCCATCGTACTCGCTTATTATAAACTACTCCAAACTTTATAAATAATAACGCTCTATAATCTATAATCTTGTAAATTCCACAAAATTATTTTTAAACAAACTACATGACAGCTTCGAATTTATTTTTTAAAGAATAATTTTTAGAAGAATATTAATAATTTTTAACAACTGCAGTATCTTGAATGAAATTATTTTTTATTAGTAAAAAGAAATGATCTTCCAAGGAAGGAGATGGTTTCAGACGTTTTCGAAAGCTTTCTACGAATCCATCTTCAAGTTTCGTTTACAACGGCCGCAAACAAAGGAACGAATTTCGCTCGATAATGGATTGCGGAAATGGGTTATCGTTTACAGAAGCAAGGTTAAAAAAGCACTTCCACGTTATAAATATAACGTTGCTTATGCAATCGATGTTACGCTATGCCTTCGGATTCCTGTTTGCGATGTTAACTTCCTGTAACCCTGTTCGAGCTCCCTTAAAACATAATTACTGTGCTTTGAATCTGTGAATGACAGGAAAAATTTTAATCAATGGATCTTCTCTCTGATACGGAATTAAACAGTTCGGGTTATTTCAGATAGAATATTTCGGTTTTGTTAAAATATTGATAAGATATTTCTAAAGATAAAAAGATAGTCACGTTGGATGCCTTGAAGATTGTTGAAATTGCAAAAATTTTAATACTGTTCTGTATTGTTTTATTATATTATAAAGTACAATATTGTTCAGTATGAAATTTACTTAATATAATATTGTTCATAGAGTTCTATAAATTTTTAACAATTGCAGTAACTTGAAAAAAAGATAGACAAGAATTGTAACAAAAGTGTCGATGATTGTCAACTCTGTAACTAAAATTCATGATAATTTAACTTGATGTTAAAATTGCAAAGTTATGAAAGATGGCATTCAACGTGTTAGGTTGATTGAACTGAAAATGATTGAAGTTCGATGTGGATTGTATTTGTTACAGCGAACGAGTGTGGTTAGCAGTTCAGTAGAGCGGCAAAATGGACGCGCGCTTCAGAAGCAATCTCGACATGATTGGGCGCAACGAGCCCATCACAAGGAAGGCCAAATTCTGGCAAAGTTACGTCCGAGCCTTGAAAGGTATTCCCAAAAATATCAATTCTTATGTCGTTTTAAATATACGCTAATAAAATCCATAACTTTCAAAGAAGGCCATATATTGAATACATTGGATAGAATACATAGGAAGGCCATATATGTATTGAATACACAGAATGGGATTATGAATAGATACATAAAAAAGGCCTTTCGCGTTTCATTATTATACATTTTTGTCAAGTAAAATCTTTTACTGGATCACCCTGTATATTAATCATTTGTGTTTGTGATGAAGCAGAGTAATAACTTTTTACTTTCTGTCAAAAGGCACCGATGACATCAGAGCTCCGGAACACACGCACAGACCCCGCAGTATTTTCCGCTCGGATTATCCTGAGCTGCATTCCTCGTGGCCTTTTGGAAAATCCATCTTTGAAAACCCACTCCACGCAGCTGATCGCATCAACCTTCCTGGATACAGGTATCTTTTCGTTTCAATATCGTACTCCCAGAAAATCCCATAAACTGATATATTTTTCTATATATACAGGCTGTCTCACAACTAGTGAGACACTAGTGAGACACTGGTTGTGAGACACCCTGTATATATATAATGATACGTATCCTATTAACCAACATTTTTATCTATATATACAGGCTGTCTCACAACTAGTGAAACACTAGTGAGACACTAGTTGTGAGACAGCCTGTATATATAGATAAAAATGACAGACACTAGTGAGACACTAGTTGTGAGACAGCCTGTATATATATAATGATACATATCCCATAACCAAACATATTTATCTATACATACAGGCTGTCTCACAACTAGTGAGACACTAGTGAGACACTAGTTATGAGACAGCCTGTATATATATAATGATACATATCCCATAACCTAACATATTTATCTATACATACAAGGTGTCTCACTAGTTGTCTCATTAGTTTTGAGACAGCCTGTACATATAAAATGATACATAGCCCATAACCTAACAAATTTATGTATGCACACAGGATGCTTCACTAGTTGTGAGGCACCCTGTATATATATAATGATACGTATCCCATAACCTAACATATTTATCTACACATACAGAGTGTCTCATTAGTTGTCTCACTAGTTGTGAGACACCCTGTATATATATAATGATACATTTGATACATATGATATATTATACATACATTCTATGTACATCATATTCCACAACAACCATGATGTCATATATGAAATGAAACATTTTTTAACAAATAGCTATTTTAATAACATTAAAAATTTGTCAAACATATTTCTATATTTGTCAAACAGATAACAGTCCTCTTTATACTTGCCTCATTCTTTTGGAAGTAAAATGAAGACAGTAAGGGGTGAAATATTTCTGTTCTCTTAAAACAGCTATATATTTTACAACAACCATTATATCATATATGAAATGAAACATTTTTTAACAAATAGCTATTTTAATAACATTAAAAATTTGTCAAACATATTTATATATTTGTCAAACAGATAATAGCCTTCTTTATACTTGCCTCATTTTTTTGGAAGTAAAATGAAGACAGTAAAGGGTGAAATATTTCTGTTCTCTTAAAATAGCTACAAGGAAACTTGTTTCTTAAAATCTTGGTTCTTAAAGCAGTCTTTAATAAACGATTTTGTACTAATTTTTCTTGTATCATTTTGTACTAATTGAAACATTGTATTTGAAGGTACCTGCCCGTCCACCGTGAGATCTACGGTTACTCACCTAGGCAGATCTACCCGCATCAATACAAACCTGTAGAACGCTTCACCCCCGGTACGTACTAAACTCAGCAAAAAGAGTGAACGACAAGAAACAGAGAATATCGAGAAAAGAATAATCGCGAAACGAAAAGAAACGAACAAGTTTGAATGCCTAACGTTGTACACACACTCGAACGTTCACGAACGAAAGATAGAGAGAATGAAAGCGAGAGAAAGAGAAGAATGAAAGTTCAAATAACGAAACGAGAAAAGGAAGCTAAAGTGAGATGAATGGAAAAAAATCTATGTACCGTTTAATTCTCAATAACCGTTCTCGGGGTTTATCATGTTGTTAATGTAATTGTTAAACCGGGTGCTTTTGGCTTCTGGCAGGGAGATACTGAACGACAGATATAAAGACAGAAGTGGAAAGGCAAAAAATCTGTCGATAAGGATTTATCTGAAATTATCCCTCCGGGTATTTCTCAGAAGCCAGAAACGCCGTTCGGAGGATCCGTCTCGTACCCCAAAGCCCTCCACCTTTGCCTGCACTCGTGACTAAAAAGAAAATAAAATAAAAAAAGAAAAAATGGGATGCTCCTGAGAACCTTGTTATTGTTATGTGTCATCCCCCGACGTGTGTAACGCGCCCTCGAAATATCGGGTCATGTTAATCGTCTCTTTATCTTCACACGAAAAATACACGTACACGAACACACAGCATATCATATATGTGTAATACTAATTGCTCTACTACACTTTGTATCTAAGTTATTATATATCGCTATATGAACATGCATCTACATCAAATATATAATATTATGGTTAAATCACTTGTCTGCGATTGGAACATTTTTTCTTCTTTCTTTTTATTTTTATTGAAATTTGTGTTTGGGGAATTCACTGATTCATTTAGGGGAATTGGCTCTATTGGCTTGAATTGGTTATTTGAAGTTCAACTTGAAATTAGATGAAATTCTTTTCTTTTATTAGGTGGATTTTTAGATTTGGGGGAATGTTTTTTAGGGAATTTTTTAGGGAATGAGTTTTTAGGTAGTTTTAGGTTGGTGTTAGTACTTGAGTTGTTGGAAAGTTTGGAGTTCTTTTTAAATTTTGAGTGGAAAGAAATTTTATATTTTGAGGATTTGTTAAATTTAATAGTAATTTGAAAATGTAGAATTTGTGAGAATTTTTATTAGAATTAGAATTAATTCTTTAGAGTTTTAACTTGTTATTATTTATTAGATTAAATTTAGGGATTAGAATTTTACTTGAACTCACAGAATTTTATTTAAATATTTTTCTTCAATTTTTACTTAAATTCTACTACTTCAATTGTTAGAACATAACCTAAAAATGTCTCTTTGTAAACTTTCAGAATTTTAGTTAAATATTTTATTTAAATTTTTACTTAAATTCTTCTTTTTGAATTGTTAGAGTTTAACCTAAAAATGTATCTTTGTAAACTTTCAGAATTTTAGTTAAATATTTTATTTAAATTTTTACTTAAATTCTTCTTCTTGAATTGTTAGAGTTTAACCTAAAAATGTCTCTTTATAAACTTTCAGAATTTTAGTTAAATATTTTATTTAAATTTTTACTTAAATTCTTCTTTTTGAATTGTTAGAGTTTAACCTAAAAATGTCTCTTTATAAACTTTCAGAATTTTAGTTAAATATTTTATTTAAATTTTTACTTAAATTCTTCTTTTTGAATTGTTAGAGTTTAACCTAAAAATGTCTCTTTATAAACTTTCAGAATTTTAGTTAAATATTTTATTTAAATTTTTACTTAAATTCTTCTTCTTGAATTGTTAGAGTTTAACCTAAAAATGTCTCTTTATAAACTTTCAGAATTTTAGTTAAATATTTTATTTAAATTTTTACTTAAATTCTTCTTCTTGAATTGCTAGAACATAACCTAAAAATGTATCTCTTGAACTTTCACAATTTTACTTAAATAATTTACTACAATTTTTACTTAAATTCTTCTTCTTGAATTGCTAGAAAATAACTTTAAAATGTATCTCTTGAACTTTCACAATTTTACTTAAATATTTTACTTCAATTTTTACTTAAATTCTTCTTCTCGAAATGCTAGAACATAACCTAAAAATGTATCTCTTGAACTTTCACAATTTTACTTAAATATTTTACTACAATTTTTACTTAAATTCTTCTTCTCGAAATGCTAGAACATAACCTAAAAATGTATCTCTTGAACTTTCACAATTTTACTTAAATAATTTACTACAATTTTTACTTAAATTCTTCTTCTTAAATTAACCTAAAAATGTCTCCTTTACTTGAAGATAAAAAATATATCTTTTAGTTTAGGTGTTCTAAACTGAGCTTGTATTTTTAGAATTTTATAGAAATAGTTTTAGAATGTTGCAAGTTTAGCCTCGTAGTATATAAAAGTTTGTCCTCAGAGTTTAAAAGAATTTATTCAAAACTTGAGCTACTATTCAAAGCTCAATAAAGCTTTGAAGAGAATTTCGTCTAATTTTAAGACTAAGAAAAGCTCAAAGAATTGAAACATCGTTGGACGCCAAGGAAGAATGCACTCTCGTCCGCCGAACCGGCCATCATGGATCATCGATTCATCGCTCATCATCATCCTAACGTTTCTTCCACGCATCAGGAAAAAAATCATCATCCTCTGTCGCTGCACTGAGAATAAATCAACTTTGAGCCCCAGAACGCATGCAGCTCTGATTCTAATTTCTTTCCAGGCATTAAACCCGTCAAGTGGCTTTTACTCAATCGTATCATCGAAATGAGCGACGTTAGACGACGACAAATTGAACGAAACTGGCAACTTAAAGAGCGAAATACGCTTACGAGCCGAGTGCGACTTCGTCATTGCATACGAAGAGAAGACCACCCCTCTTTTTTCGATTAACGTCCATTAACTTCTTCATCGACCCTTTATTTTAATATCTTGAGCTTCAGAATACTAGGATACATTTTATAGGTGTTTTTTTTTATCGTTTAGGGGGCATGGGCACTTTTTGCCTGTGGAATTGCCCGGTGGTTGGGTTTGAGTGAATATTCGAGGTGACTGTTGGTTTTTTTGAGGTGAATGTTGGGTTTTTGGTTTGGGGAGGTGTTATGGGAGTAATGTGGTGGGGGATTTGATTGTGGAATGAGTTTTCACTGATTTATAGGGCTTAGAAATTTGCCCCAAAGTCGATGAGGGACAAGAATTTTTTTTTCAAACAATTTGCTTTTAAAAATATTTTTGTTACTTTTGAAGTTGTTTTGATACTCTTGAAGTTTGAAGATAATCCCAGAGGCATTCAAAGTATTTTATAAATCCCGAAAATTTACAATTTTGAAATTGCAGTCTCAAAATTAAAAAACCACAAATTTCTAAAATTTTGAAGCCTCACAGAAGTTTCAACATTTTCAAATCCAAAGATACAAAATATCAATAATTCTAAAATTACAAGACCCTAAAATGTAAAAATTCAAAGTTTTCAAACTTCTCAAATTCCTAAATTAGGAATCTGAAAAATCCTCAAGTTTGAAAATTCTAAAATGTTCAAGTCTTCAAAAATGACTGAATATTAAAATTCTAAAATTGCAAAATCTTCAGGTCCCCAAATTCTAGTTCTAGTTTAGTGTCCATGCCCATAGGCAAATACTTTGTAGCTTTTTAACGACTTTGTTTGAGTGGGAGGAGTTAAAGCTCAAGGTATTAATTGTGATATTAGACAATTAATTGCTGATAGATAATTAACCAGTTACTCCAATGCTATACGATTATAGTATTTTTTATACATATATGCTGCTCAAAATAATTAAACCTAGAAGAAACCTAAGACGAATATAAAAATGCAAACTATGTAACAAGAACTATCATTCAATTTTGAGCAGTGTACACTAACAATAATTTTAACCAAAGATATGAGATCAAAAAGAAAAATTTCATACTTCAAAATTTTTCTCCATTTACTCAAATTACAAAATTAAATTAAATCTGAAGGTTCTAAATTCTGTAGATGAATCATTAAATAGTGCAATTATTTAAATATTGAAACCTTATAAAAATTAAGTTACCGAATTAAAAAAAGAATAATAAAAAATTGAAAGATCCAGCACCAGTTGGTTAAATAATAATGGATCTCATACTTTTGCTTCAGTATAACACAAGTATTCACAAGTATACAGTCATTCAAAAACTTAAACCTAACATCCAAAGCTTATGGCTAACAAGAATCTACTAAAACAGTCATACACACAAAAAGAACAAAAATATTCTCTCAATCGATGTGACGATCGTCGAGAGAACGGAACTACGGAAAATGGAAGCTTGGAAGCCATCTTGAAACAGTGGCCAACGGATCTGCTTGTCTAAGGCACTAGAAAGCTGCTGTACACTGTATACAACAAAATTTTTGCAATAAAAAATCGATAGCTGTGAGGAACATTTTTTCCGACAATTTTTACGCGTTTTATTTTCGCGAGATTTTTGCGTTTTGAGGAAAAACAATTTGTTCCGCGGACGAATGATTCAGAAGACGTTAACTCTTGCAGCTGAGGTGGAGGTCGCAGTTTGAAAATGGATCTAAAAAATAATAGAGGGAGGACAACGTGACTGAGCTTGAGAATGATTGTAGTTGAAGATTACCAAGTTTATAGTAGTGGCGTTTATACGAAGAAATATAAAAGGATACTCTGTATATGGCCGCCAAACTTGAAAAAGCTGGAAATTTTCTCTCGACGCTTTCGCGTTCTAATTTTTAATGATTTTTTACGTCGTTCCTTGTCTTGGTATTTCTTTTTTTTTAGCTTCAGGGTGAATCACGTGTTTCATTAAATTTTATTAATAGGGTATTCAATTTTTTTCAAATGGTATGGAGACTTTCAAGGTTTTATAGTTTTTGTATACCATTTTTTAATGCAAGGTTTTATAAAGCATTTTTATTTATTTATTTGTGAATTACATTTTTAAAGTGAACATGAAATTAATTACATATATTGTCCATTTGATGAGTTAGGTAAATGCTAAAAATAAACTGACATGTTCAACCTAACCTAACATGTTCAATCCCAGAACAGCTGATAAAAGCAAAGCCTTGAGTATAATATTACTCTACTGATTCCAACCATGTTCACACACAGTATCTGTTATTTTTTAAAGAAAAAATTTAATTAACTGTGACTCACCCTATATTTACAAATTATTTCAAGAGAAAAGGTTAATTTATTTCATGGAAGACGAGGACGACGTATAGCAAACAGATAATCAACATTAATCACAAAATGGATAATACACGCTCTAATCCGCACGCGTGTCCGAGTATTATTTTTCCGACTAACAAGCGGCAATTAATTACAACCAGATCCAACAAAAATTTCTATCTTTTTCAGGAGATGGCATGTAAGTTTTTTTTTCTGTTTCTCCCTTGAACCAACCTTGTCCCGTAAAAACTCTGAGCTTAAATAATATACCCCCCAATTATGCGTAATTCTTTCCTTCGAACCTTTCTGTAGTATAATTAATATATAATACAAACACCAGAAGACAAGTAGTTGGAAGTTGCAATGACGGATCGTTTATAGTCGCGTTTATTCGTGGGAAAGAAATTTGTATTCGCCACTTGGTGGACGAGTTTGTTCTCTTTGCACTCGTATGTGATTTTTTTCTGGTTTTCTGGTTTTTTGATGAGTGAATGAATATTCACAGAGATAAATTATTGCGTAGTTTATAATTATTGATAATTAGTAATATAATACAGCCTTGAACGGTGAGTCATTGAAGATAATAGAACTTGATATGGCGGCCATTTTGTTATATAGAAGGTGGTGGCCATTTTGTTACGTAGAGAATATGGCGGGAATTTTGAAATATTTAGAGATAAATATGTAAAAATAAGAAGGGTAGTATTAGAGATTATACTGATTAGACAGATCGTCTTTAATTTAAATATAAAAATGTACAATATTTTTCAAATATGTTGTGGGTCAATCTGAATTCAATTTAAAGTAAAATTTCAAGCCTCTAACTTCATTTTCAAATTATTCTCTCACAGTTTATCCAATACGAAAAATTTAGTTTTAAAAGTTTTAGTGTTTGAAATTCTAAATTTATGTTATGTCTCATCATTCGAGGGTGAAATGTCTCCACCAAAATTTGTTATAAAATGTTCAAATTACGAGTGCAAGGAATTAAAGTGATTCGTAGTTTAAGCTCAATTCTAACCCGTCAATTGAAGCACAAAAAATTGAACAAAAAAAAGATTGCATCGTTAAAAAACAGTCGATGCACTTTACATTAAAGTGCATTAAAGCAAAATATTAAAGTTTTCTAATAAAAAATTATGAATTTTGAAAGAAACAGTTGACGGGTTGCTCTCGATTCTTTTTTCGCAAAAGCAGCTTTTTTCCTCTCCATCGGGAGTACGATTTTTTGCAGGCGATTTTTTATCCTCCCACAAGGTTAGTATGCTTTTTCACGTTACGTGGCGTCGTGTTATTTTTTGTGAGAGAGAGAACAATTTTTCCAACATTTTTTTTCTCTTCTAGAAGGAAAGAATCGTGAGCTTGAACGCTCTGTATCGAGTAGGAGGAACACGCACGGCTTCAAAATCACACGAAACAAGGACAGAACCCTTGTCGAACCTAACACACTCGCAGTTCCCACTAGTTCACCCTCGCACAATCTTCTAAATATTCTTTTTCTTTTGTTTTACATATCGAGTGTAAGAAATCAACAGTGTCTTACAACTAGTAGGTCCCTGAAATGGGAGGTAGCTGACATGATTCTGAATAAGATGTCCCTTTGCAAAAATGGGGTTTGAAGCTCCGTTTTTGAATTATTAAGGAAAAACACGGACCAATCAGAGCGTGAGGATTACGCATGCGCAGACGCGAGAGCGACAGCTTCGAGCTAGCGGCTGAGCGCGTGGTACTTACCACGCGTTGTATTTACCACGCACTGTATTTACCACGCGTTCTTTACCACGTACTGCACTTACCACGCGTTGTATTTACCACGTGCTGCACTTACCACGCGTTGCTTACCACGTGCTGCACCTACCAAGCGTTATATTTACCACGCGTTGTATTTACCACGCACTGTATTTACCACGCGTTCTTTACCACGTACTGCACTTACCACGCGTTGTATTTACCACGTGCTGCACTTACCACGCGTTGCTTACCACGTGCTGCACCTACCAAGCGTTATATTTACCACGCGTTGTATTTACCACGCACTGTATTTACCACGCGTTCTTTACCACGTACTGCACTTACCACGCGTTGTATTTACCACGTGCTGCACTTACCACGCGTTGCTTACCACGTGCTGCACCTACCAAGCGTTATATTTACCACGCGTTGTATTTACCACGCATTGAATTTACCACACGTTGCTTACCACGTGCTGCACCTACCACGCTTTGTATTGACCACGCATTATATTTACCACGCGTTGTATTTACCACGCATTGAATTTATCACGCGTTGCTTACCGCGTGCTGCACCTACCACGCATAGTACTTGCCACGTCTTGTATTTACCACGCGTTACATTCACCACGCATTGATTTCTTACGCGTTGCACTCACCAAGCGTTGAATATACTATACATTGCATTTACTGCGCATACATAATTCAAAAACGAAGCTTCAAACCCCATTTTTGCGAAGAGAAATCTTATTCAGAATCACGTCTACTCCTCATTTCAAAGACCTACTACTTGTAAGACACACTGTAGGCACTGTAAATTAAATATGAAGCATCACTACATGATAACATTGCAGAAAGATTTGAACAAAGTTTCTTACACTCTTCAAATTTTTTATTAAAAACGTCCATGAATGTAGCATGAACAGCCTCGAATTAATGGAAACGTAGTAATTAACATAGAGAGATATTTTTCCTCGCGAGATAGTCGCTTAAGCTAACAAGCTAAAATAGAGAAAATGGAGCGCAAAAAAATATGATAATACATTTCGGCCAGATTCGGGGTGAAATGAAACCGATGGTACGCACGGTTTTCACGATTAGGTGTCGTAATTATTCATTTAGATTGATCGTTGCATACACATTAAACGATTCATCGACAAATGACAAACGGAGAAGAAGAATCTCGAGCCTCTTCATAGATTAGTGTTTTTCAATGTGGACTTGTTATTTTTCTACTTTTTGTTTTTTTGTTATAGTATATATGTTGACGCTTTTGTTGTTAAAAATTAGCGATAATTTATGTTAAATTTTTTAAATAGTGAACTTTGAAGTTTTAAACTTGTACAATGCTGAATTCTACAAAATTATATAAATAATACAAATTTATTTTAATAATTAAAATACTATTTCAATTATTGTACTTTTTTTTAACTCAAAAGCGTCAAAGAGCTGATACAAAAAGAATCGAGTCTGATACAAAATATCCGACACGATTCTTATCTGAAATAATAAAACTTCAAATCAGAGAAGTATCTTTTACAGTTCAACAAATCAAGTAAAATTATCTGTATCTTCAGTGATTTGTTTATGGACAAAAAGATGCTTGGTATGATTTGAGTGTTGTTTGTTTAAAAATACAATTTTGCATTCCTGCACGGATCGATTGAAATAACAAATACTAAAGCACTAGTATTTGTTAGCAATTTAATTATAGAATAGTATCTCTGTGTATTTGACGGTAAAACATTTATTTCGTTTGAAATATTTAAGATGACATGTGTGATCATATGTGAAGCTCTCACGTGTGTAAATCACATATGTGACAGCAAACACCAACTCAGAAATGTAGTCTTAACTTAAATATGTTACATTTCTAACACACTTGTCAATCAAAATGGCAATTGATCAGAAAACTTCACAGATCACATATGTGAACCTCTCACATGTGTAAATCACATATGTGACAACATACACCAACTCGTCAAACTTCAGAAACGAAATAGTCTCAATCTAAATATGTTACATTTATATCTCACTTGTCTATCAAGATGTCAATTGACCAGAAAATGAAACCACATAGCATCACATATGTGAATCTCTCATATGTGTAAATTACATACATATGTGAACCTCTCACAAAAAACACTAATTCATCAAATTTCAAAAATGAAATACTCTCAATCTAAATACGTTACATTTATATCTCACTTGTCTATCAAAATGTCAATTGACCAGAAAATGAAACCACATAGCATCACATATGTGAATCTCTCATATGTGTAAATTACATACATATGTGAACCTCTCTCAAGAAACACTAATTCATCAAATTTCAAAAATGAAATACTCTCAATCTAAACACGTTACATTTATATTTCACAGTCTACCTTGTCAATGAAAGAACCACATATGAATCTCACACACGTACATCACATATGTGAACAGCAATTTCTCAAAACACAAAACCTTGATTTAAATATATTTTGTATCAAATCATCTATACCTTAACAATGAATCACAGAACATAATCGGAGATCAACCAGATACACAGAACACAATAAATTTCGAAAGATGTTGATAACTGTCGACAGCTTAATTTAAAGCATCCTCTAATTATTTCGAGCATCGCAAGCTGGTATTCACAGAGCGATCCGACAGGAATGCAATTTTCATTGCCACGAATTTTTGTTTCATTGCCATAAATGTATCACGATACAGCGAAACCGTTCGACCCTGAGAAAGCTTGGACCGACCATCTGAACCGCTTGGCAGACATCGACAGGCTGTATCCGAGCAAAACTCCTTTGCTCGCTCGGCATATAAGCCCTCCGCTCAGTACGAAACGATTGTTCGACATCCACGGTGAGTTCTCGTTGGTACTCCTTTGTCTCTTACTGTTAGTAACACTTAGTGATAGTAACACTTTGACAGTTGGGTTAGTAGTCTAACACTTTGGTGAAGTAACTTTGTTAGTGAAGTAAGTTTGCTTAGGTGAAGGTAGCTTCAGTTAGTGAGAAGACTGTGGACTTTGAAAGCAAATCACTTTACTTTGAAAACAAATAATTTTATCAAAATATAAGAATAAATTACTTTACTTTGATAAGAAATAACTTTAAGAATAAATGACTTTACTTGAACAACAAATAATTTTAACAATAAATGATTTTACTTTGACAACAAATAACTTTAACAATAAATGACTTAACTTTGACTCTTTAACAAATAACGTTAACAATAAATGACTTAACGTTGACAACAAATAGCTTTAACAATAAATAGCTTCAGAAACAAACTACTTCACAAGGAAATAGATTTAATACCTATTACTATTGATTACATTTATTATACTGTTACTATTCATACTTAAAGATAATTTATTATAACTGGAGTTGGAATAATTTGACAAGCACTATCAATTTTGAAACATTCAGTAACGTAAAACATTTAGAAACATTCAATAACTTGAAACATTTAGAAACATTTAGTAGAAATTATTTGAAACATTTGATGTGACACTGAGTCCCTTACTGAGGCTATGGCGGCCATATTGGTTTTCTAGCACTCTGGACATACTTTAATATTTAGCAAGGTTTATAAATTAGTTGTAGTTTGAAAAATTGGAAAAAATTGTAAGAATTATAAGAGATAGTCAAAGTGTTTTACAATGAACCTCAAAGTACTCTCTAGTGAATAATAAATCTAGTCGATTGTGACAAAGTCAGTGCTGTTTGACCACAGTGAAAATGACTGGTGTTGACAAGAATTATAGTGCTAAAAATTAGTAAAATTAAAAATGAATTTCGTAGTGTCACTTATCAGTGCTAAAAGTATTAAATAAGTAGCCTATTTAATTAAGGAATAATTCCTTAGTAATTGAACTAAAGTTATACATAGAAGTTATATTCATACAATGTTTTAGAAAATTAAAATAATATGAATGCAAAGTAGAATAGTATGGTATAATAATAATATGTGATGAATGTAAAATAATATGGTATAAAAATAATATGTGACAAATGTAAAATAGTATGATATAATAATATGTGATGAATGTAAAGTAACATGGTATAATAATATGTGATGAATTTAAAGTAATATGGTATAAAGATAATATGTGACAAATGTAAAATAGTATGATATAATAATATGTGATGAATGTAAAGTAACATGGTATAATAATATGTGATGAATATAAAGTAATATGGTATAATAATAATAATATGTGATGAATGTAAAAGAACATGGTATAATAATATGTGATGAATGTAAAGTAACATGGTATAATAATAATAATATGTGATGAATGCAAAGTAACATGGTATAACAATATGTGATGAATATAAAATAATATGGTATAAAAATAATATGTGACAAATGTAAAATAGTATGATATAATAATAATATGTAATAAATGTAAAATAATATGGTATAATAATAATAAACAGTGAATATAAAATAGAATTCTTAATATGTAGGTAATTTGCTGAACGACTGGGACTACTTACCTACCCTGCTACGTAGAAAACCGCTGTTCGACCTTCTGGAACCATCACCCATGGCACCCGTCAGTGCTTTCACCAGAGACCCATGGTGGTACCCAGCCTTTGCTCCTTATATTCCGAGCTATGCTCAAAGGAGCACCCCGTTCTACCTGAGGGACAGTTATCTTAGCCCTGTGAAACGTAGCTATCTATGGAGCCGACATCCCATCAGGCCTTTCGGTATGTAACCCTTTTTCATTATCCGCCATCACTTATACTTCATTAGAAAATATCTGATTATTCTCTGTCTGAAAATATGAAAACGCGTTTAAAATTTTTAATCAAAAGAATGAGCGCTTTAAAAATTTGTACAAAAAAATGAAAACTGACATTTGGAATTTTTATTTATCATAAAACTCTTAAAAAAAACCTTGATTATAAAATAATTATAACTTCTGTAGGATTTCAATGTCAAAATGCGTTACAATATCATGTACTTGAAACTTCACAATTATTTTGAGATCTTCCTCGAACGATTACATAATAACAACCGATGAAATTATATTTGGCATTGTTTATAGTTTGGCTGAAGCACAGGTATTGTTTCTTTAAACGATGTTAAAAACTTGACACGGCTCGTAACAGAGACATGATACTCAACTTCCTTCTGCCAAGTATTTCTTCCTCTTGGCAGCCTATCGTTAAACAATTAATTGGCTATCTTTATTTATAATTATTGTTTGTCTCTTGGTAGCCAGACAGAGAAATTGAATTCTATAAATACACTTTGTAATTTATTTTACTGTGGCAAGTTTTGTTACTTTGTAATGTTAGTTGGAGAGTTTGTATAATTTTGCAATAATTTCAGTTGGAGAGATTGTATAATTTATTTTATTTTATTAAGTTAGAAATTTTTTGTGTAATTTATTTTGTATTATTAAGTTAGACATTTTTTGTATAATTTATTTTACAATATTAGTTGGAAATTTTGTATAATTTATTTTGTATTGTTAGTTGCAAATTTTGTATAATTAATTTTGCATCATTAAGTTAGAAATTTTTTCTATAATTTATCTTGCAATATTAGTTGGAAATTTTGTATAATTTATTTTGTATTATTAGTGGGAAATTTTGTACAATTTATTTTGCATCATTAAATTAGAAATTTTTTGTATAATTTATCTTGCAATATTAGTTGGAAATTTTGTATAATTTATTTTGTATTATTAGTGGGAAATTTTGTACAATTTATTTTGCATCATTAAATTAGAAATTTTTTGTATAATTTATCTTGCAATATTAGTTGGAAATTTTGTATAATTTATTTTGTATTATTAGTGGGAAATTTTGTACAATTTATTTTGCATCATTAAATTAGAAATTTTTTGTATAATTTATCTTGCAATATTAGTTGGAAATTTTGTATAATTTATTTTGTATTATTAGTGGGAAATTTTGTACAATTTATTTTGCATCATTAAATTAGAAATTTTTTGTATAATTTATCTTGCAATATTAGTTGGAAATTTTGTATAATTTATTTTGTATTATTAGTGGGAAATTTTGTACAATTTATTTTGCATCATTAAATTAGAAATTTTTTGTATAATTTATCTTGCAATATTAGTTGGAAATTTTGTATAATTTATTTTGTATTATTAGTGGGAAATTTTGTACAATTTATTTTGCATCATTAAATTAGAAATTTTTTGTATAATTTATCTTGCAATATTAGTTGGAAATTTTGTATAATTTATTTTGTATTATTAGTGGGAAATTTTGTACAATTTATTTTGCATCATTAAATTAGAAATTTTTTGTATAATTTATCTTGCAATATTAGTTGGAAATTTTGTATAATTTATTTTGTATTATTAGTGGGAAATTTTGTACAATTTATTTTGCATCATTAAATTAGAAATTTTTTGTATAATTTATCTTGCAATATTAGTTGGAAATTTTGTATAATTTATTTTGTATTATTAGTGGGAAATTTTGTACAATTTATTTTGCATCATTAAATTAGAAATTTTTTGTATAATTTATCTTGCAATATTAGTTGGAAATTTTGTATAATTTATTTTGTATTATTAGTGGGAAATTTTGTACAATTTATTTTGCATCATTAAATTAGAAATTTTTTGTATAATTTATCTTGCAATATTAGTTGGAAATTTTGTATAATTTATTTTGTATTATTAGTGGGAAATTTTGTACAATTTATTTTGCATCATTAAATTAGAAATTTTTTGTATAATTTATCTTGCAATATTAGTTGGAAATTTTGTATAATTTATTTTGTATTATTAGTGGGAAATTTTGTACAATTTATTTTGCATCATTAAATTAGAAATTTTTTGTATAATTTATCTTGCAATATTAGTTGGAAATTTTGTATAATTTATTTTGTATTATTAGTGGGAAATTTTGTACAATTTATTTTGCATCATTAAATTAGAAATTTTTTGTATAATTTATCTTGCAATATTAGTTGGAAATTTTGTATAATTTATTTTGTATTATTAGTTGGAAATTTTATATAATTTATTTTGCATCATTAAGTTAAAAATTTTTTGTATAATTTATCTTGCAATATTAGTTGAAAATTTTGTATAATTTATTTTGCAATATTAGTTGCAAAGTTTGTACAATTTATTTTGTACAATTAGTTAAAAATTTCCTATATAATTTATCAGTCATATGTTACATAAAACCAAAGTCATAAACACATAACAAAAAATAAAAATGGAGGAACATCTCAAAATAGTAACGCAATAAAACAAATTACAAATTACTCAAATATTCTTGCATTTACCAAAATAAATATCTCCGTACATAAATACCTATGTTCATTGATAAACTGTAAACGAGCTCAGATCGATAAAGCAATTTATATAAAATTCTGAAGTGCCGCTTCCGGTGACTGAAATATCGCCATAATGTCAAAGGATTAACTTTAATACCTTTCTTCGATAACAGCTCAACCATCGACCGCAATTTCCAAGAAAAAAAAACCACTCTTAAAAGATTTTCAAAAGAAAGTTTACAATCACTAATAACTATTTATAAATCTTAAATACTTAATTAAATAGCTGAATATTTAATTACGTCTGAAGTAAACAACGAAAATCTGATTTGCAACTTTAACCTGGGTCAATAACTTCAATGACAATGTCGCTGACATTGCGGTTGTTTACTCTGACTAGGCTTCAGAAGCCCTTTATTTACCAGATAATCTCACCACTTTATCAAGAGAGATCAAACCAAACCTCGCTAAAATTCGCACAGCAAATGAACCCAAATGTCTTATATTTCAGGGTCGTTATACTACTATTATTCGAAGCCAGTTCCACGATTTCACTTTACCCGCCCATGGTACAATAAACGTACCACATATTAAGAAAGAAAAGTGAGCGATAAAAATTGTGATAAAATGTGGTCAAGTGTTTTTGCACCCTTTCCTCATGTGAACAAAATAATCACCGGAGAGACGATCACGTTACGATAATTGACCGCTGTATATATCTCCGTCTACGACCACATTAACACGCAACTAAACGTCACAAACATTAATTCAAAATAGAAAAGAAAAAAATAGAAACATACACAGCCCGTGTTACGTCGGCTGTTAAAAAGAAATCGACCTTTTTAACCGTGTCATCGTAAACGTTAATCAATTACGTGATCATCTAATTAAGAGAACAATTATCAAACACAGTTGTCATTTTGTACGTGACTTACGTGCCTGGATTTAAACGCCCCCTCTAATAGGTTTTTATTTATTTGGAATCTCCTCTATGTACATACATTTCATTCCACTAATACATATGTATATATTGTGTACACATCTGAAAGGAAAATCGAGCTGCATCATGCAAACACTTCTGCGGCCATTTTGTTTCTAACGGTCGAATTATATTAGTTTGTGTTTGCTGATAATGGTCGAATTTAACACGAGCTTTAGATGTGAAGATATCGGGGACCTGTCCTTCTTTCAAAAATGTCCTTGTGTCACTGTCACTCTAAGCTTCGAGAATTCTGCAGAAACTCCATCTTTAATTACTTGAAAATTTCATAGTTCGAGAATTTGCTGAACTTTAAGTTTCCTAAATGCAAACTTTTCTAAATTGGAAAATTTGAAAATCTAGTAAGTAGATTTTGGAAATTTACAAAGTTGAAAATTTTGAAGACTAGAATAAAGAATGAAAAAATTGTAAAGCTACTGTAAAATTTGCAAATATAAAAATTGCAAAATTTGCAAATATAAAAATGGTAAAATTTGCAAATATAAAAATTGCAAAATTCATAAATGTAAAAATGTGAAAATAGTAAAATTGATAAATGTAAAAATTGTAAACGCGAATGAGAATTCTCGAAGCTATAGCCTATTTATTTGAGCTAATCGATGACTCTTTTTTGCAGCCGCCTACTGATGACCGTGTCACCCAGCATGGAACGCGTGATACGAAAAAAACCGATGAAAAAATAAAGCCACGAAAAAAAAGAAATGAAAGAATATTTGCAACGTATCCCAAGCAATTATTCGATACCTATTGTCTGATTATATTTCTCGCAGCGCGTATCATCGTCCACGGAGTTCTATTTATTAACAATGTTTCTCGTCACCATGGTTTATTGTACTGTTCGTTCGTTCTGTCTACGAATAAAATAAACACTGCCCAAATTTTACTACAAGATGTTTTTCTTTTTAACTGAAAATGAACAGGTTTGTACAACAATATGCATGTTTATTATCTGAAAGTTTTACATCTTTAGGATGTCATTGCATTGCCGTGTTCCGTCGAGATTCGATCGATCTTTGACCCCTACGTTTTACACCTGAACGTCGAATCACGACTGATCCGTCATTTACAAATATAATATCTGTGTATATAATTTACGAGTTTCGGACAAAACGCATACCGAGGGATCACAACCGCTTCTTTTTTATTAAACTTATATCAGAGGGAAGAAGGGGATGAAAATGGCGGGAAGAATGTGGCCGTTTTTTTCTAACAACCTTCTTTGCAGAGATTACTTAAACACGGAAGAACAAATTACACTCGTCTATCAATTAACAATACAGTAAACAAAGATTGACAATGGTTCGCATTTAAAATAATTTCCTTGGGAAACGCAAATTACATTTAATCACTGGTCGCTTTTTTATCGTTTAACGATACGAAGTTGATTATTTCACTTTCAGATAATACTCGTGATGCTCTCGCTTCTTGAACTAATAGTAAATTTACGATACAGTGCGATCTAAGATAATTTTTTTCTCTTTTAATCATTGTATTGTTTCTTTTTTTTTTTTTGTCTTTTTGATATATATGTATATATATACGCACACGCATATATACATATATATGTACATATATCTTTGTAAACTCGCTTAAGTTCTATACAGGTCAGTATTCAAGTTTTGTTTTTGATACTTTCTAGTACGCGTTACTTTTAATTATGCCAACTACTTTGCACAATTTATTATTCAGCAGAATGTTTTTCTTTAAATGAATAAAAATAAATGCTTTGCAAAATATTGCCATGTTACTAAAGCGTGTATTCAAAATTAAATGCTGCACAATGCTTGATGGATGATTAAATGACGTTCGCAAATGATAAACGAATCTGAAAGTGAAATAGTTCTTAGAAGTGACAATCTGAGTGCATTGTATCCGATAGAAAGAGATTTGAGTAATTTGGTATTTTTTATATCAACCTCTTAATCTGCATTTGAAATAATTATTCGAATCCTCTCCTTACGATGAATAAAAAGACAATAATGTAATCTGCATAGAATTATCTTAAAAATACTGGTTCTCTGTTCCTCTCTGATTTTTCATTCTTAGAGAATAAACGGTTTAGTATTTCTACAACGTATGTTGGAACGTGCTGTCAATATTTATAGAACATTAAAAAGTAAAATATCGAAGATCGTATGAACATGAGATGACAAAACAGAAGTAACACATGGAGCGAAAGAAATGAATATCTATGTACATAACGCACAGCGCGTTGTTAAATGATTACATGTAATTTAAATCAGCTGCGAAGCGATGGCAATAATAGAGAAGTATCAGGAATAGTCAGCAAATCTAATAATTACACTGAACATTTAACGATGGAAGCAATAAATAATCAAATGAGAATGTGGAAATTTCATTAAACGCTAATGGCATATCAAGGACCACGCCGCATCTGGAAGATACGTGTTAATAATTTTACCAGACAATGCGGAAATGATCCTTACTTGAAATTGAAAAACGTATCGCTTTTAATTATATTACTTATCTTATTAGATGTAATCAAGGAAGAGGTAATGTTACACACTTCTCTTGACGTCTTCATGCTGAAACATGAAAAGTAATACTCATGAAAAGTATTAGCAAAGTTAGATCTTATCTTTTTGTTTTTTTTTTTTCTTTTTTTCGTTTCTAAACCTTCCATGACAAACGCACTTGAACAGGTTCTATTAATACAACGTGTAACGTTTTAAATGCTAATCAGTCAACGTAATAAATGTACTTAAAATGCTAAGATTTAAATCATATGCGAAGAAGAAAATTAAAATTGCACCTTAAAGTCTTCCGCGATCACAAATAATTATGGATAACCAAACACCACTACGTGTCTCACCTCCTCACTCTGTTATTCATTTTCTGGTGTTACGCTCTTTAATGTTAATTCATTAACGCCTATCGATGTTCGCTTTAGAACATTAATAGGGAAAATTTCCTTAAACATAAAATCAGTTTACCTAACACAAGAGCATCCGCTAATGGTGTTGATGTCAAAAGATGAGCACAAGGCTGTCATTTCTTTTTGGCTGGATTCCTTTGTGGTGTAGATGGTCTTGTTGCTTGACCCGTATTCAAACTTAAGTACTGGTATTTTGCTTTCTTCTCTGAAGGTTTCAAGATCTACAGACATAGCTATGTGTTACAATTAAATAAAAATGCAAATATATCTCCAAGGGTATGAAACCTAACCTGAAAACTGCACATTAGTGTTTCATCGACGCTCATCATTCCACCGGCGTTGTCGAACTCTCCACAGTAATTAGGAGCAGAAAATAAAGTAACCAACTGACGTTTCGCGAAAAATTCGTAACCATCTTCGACCACTTGATGTGCCCTGCATATCAAGTCCATATCATGGCGATTTAAAAATTTAGATACTACATCCGGACCAAATGTGAAAGATACACCTCTATCATTTTCACCCCATCCCTGAAACAAAATTAAGGATGTAGTTTATGTAGATAAAGGATGACTTAATACAAATAATATAATTATAAGATCTTTATACCTGGACCTCTTTGTCTGGATCTGACCACAGCAGGTCACAGAGAAGGCCAGTGTCAGGTACATCCGTTGGGCGCATAATTCTTCTTATTTGTTCCATATTCTGTTAAATAAAAACTGTATTCAAACATTTGCATGGTATTGTACAACTTAGGCTTCTCTTAGCTGAGGAGCGTAGATGAAATATTCCAAAATTAGTTCTTAAATTTTAGAACTCTCTCTATTTTCTTGCCAGACTCTTCTAAGACTGAGAAATAGATAGCAGAGAGTTACTATCTTTCTCTTCAACCAAGAGAAGTAAATGTTGCACCCAAATAGCAATAATGTAAAAAAATTAATTTTAAACATGTTGACAGGGAACAGAGATTAAAGTTTCATTATTCTCCACCCTACAATATAAATAAAAAAAATCGATTAGCCGGTTTATTTTTCAATTTCCTGCCACGAGCCGCCACACGACGATATTCCAAAATTTCAAGGCAAACTATAAATTTAACCGGAGTATATTAAAATTTAATATCGCGTGAAAATATGACGCAAAAACGTTTTTAGAATATCGTCATCTTCGAGCAAATATAAATTTGGCGCGGTTTGTAAAAGTTTGAAATCTCGATAAATTACGCGTGTCATAACGCTGTCCTGCGATAAAAATAAATCATATTTCGTTGCGTCCTCCTGAAATGACGAAATCGAATCACCTGAAGATCCGGACTGAGGCCGCCGTGGCAACAGAATATCTTCTCGTCGATGATCGCGGCGATCGGTAAACAGTTGAAGCAATCGGTGAACGTCTTCCATAGTTTGATGTTGTACCGTCTCTTGCATTCGTCGTAGAATCCGTATATCCTGTTTATGCTGGCGCACTCGTGATTACCACGCAACAGGAAGAAGTTTTCTGGGTATTTGATTTTGTACGCGAGCAGCAAGCATATCGTCTCCAACGACTGCTTACCCCGGTCCACGTAGTCACCGAGAAACAAATAGTTCGCTTCCGGCGGGAAACCCCCGTATTCGAACAATCGCAGCAAATCGGTGTATTGACCGTGAATGTCGCCGCAGATCTTAAGTGGCGCCTCCAGCTCGAGCAGGATCGGCTGTTGAAGAAAGATCTCCCGCGATTTCAGGCAAAGGCCGCGCACCTCGCTCTCGGACATAACAACGGTTTTTCCTGGTCGGCATCCTCTGACTGTGGCCAGAAAATTTGCACGTTTTAAACGCCTTTTCTTCTAGTTAGTTTCCCTCGTGTATCGACGCGAGGCATCAAAGATTCGTTTTCACAGGTACATCGAGCATAAGTCTACGCTGGAGCATGAAGGTGTCTGACTGCCGAGAACCGATTTCAAAGGGGAACAAGGGTAATACGATTACACGGATTCGATTGTATTCCTATCGTTCGGATTCGCGATATACGGTCCTGACGTGTTTATTACGATTCCACTCGGTAAAACGTCATTATTCATATATCACATCTCGTTTATTGTTACAGCTGTTACCGATCAATATCGATATTATTTGATGTATCGATAGCATCGTTATGACGAACTAAATGCAAATGTAATTCCTCCTTTTATTGTTCAAATTTAATTACTCTTGTTTTCAAGTTAGATTAGATTATATTTCAAGCTTAAATCTGCTCAAATCAGATTAAATTAACTTCGGAGTTTAAATTAGACTGATGAAATCAGATTATGTTAAGTTTCAAGCTTAACAAATATGAACGACAAAATTGCGCATTTCCTTAGTCACGATATGATCGATATATCATTATGTATCAATAATCGATATCAGCATCTCCAATATCGAGTGAGCTGTAAAGCATTAAATAGCCATTCATGGAAATAATTTTCGATCTCAGAGTATTAATAAGTTAAAACTTTTTTTAACGAAAATACGTGAGAAAAAAATTATTTCCCGAATGATGCAATGATTACGCGTAAAGCACGGGTTAAATAGTGTTCGATGACACGGAAGCATTACGTTAGAAGATCGATTGTAAAAACATCAAGCAACGTGATATAGGTTTTCTCTTGATGCAATAACCGAGAACACAAAAGGTTGTCGCACACATTGTAGTTATAATGCTTCGACGGGATTAAGTGGTTATATGAGTTCGAATAATACAACTGTACGGGTATATAAACTTGTGGAACACGAAAACAAAAGCCCGGGGCCGGTTAGTCACGTGTGTAATCACTGATCGTGATATATGAATATAGGCCGTACAATACGAACATGGTATATAGTACGAGCAAGAAATGAGAAATTTCGTTTCCCAGATTGCTCTTCAGAACCTTGTATCAGTGTCACTAGATTATTTATAGCTATAAAGGAATTCACGATGCGGCTAAACTGGGCCGATGATGGTTATTGGAAAACTGCATATCAGCAAGGTCACATCAACCAGAGTATCTAAGCATCATGATTAATAAACAAAAATCCGAGGAAAAAAGAAGAAATGAATTAATGATAGAATATATCCTAAAACAGCAAAATGTCGGAAACAATATCTATTAATATTTGCGGTTATTTACGGAAACGGAGCCGACGATAGAAAAAATTTAGTCATCGTCATAGTTATATTTGATCGCACGCGATAGCTTGAATTAACTCTTCGAACATGTTATAGTTCACTGTAAATTCTCGTTTAATTTGTAAAAAAAAATAAACAAATAAAAGATACCACTGTAGATCACGCAGGAAAGATTAAAAAAAAGATTATTCTTCGCCAAGCATTAACATCTTCATTCTGATTGTAATAAATTTGAAAATAACTCTCGTGAAAAAGAGGTGTCTTATCAAAGAACAATGTGTATATAACGAATACATTAATCTCTGCAAAAAGATAATAACAAGTTTACATTCAATTTGTAATACGTATATGCCAAGTAAGACACTTATTCTAAATATATTCAGTAGCCAGTGTTGTAACATACATTTATTACTTAAATACATTAAGAAAACATGTGCCAGGATAAAAAACATTAACACTAACAATATGTTCATATAAAAGTACATCAAATTGTGCTGTAAGATCCCCAAAGAGAACACGATATTATCTTCACAAAAGATAGCCGACTCATTGAGAGATGAGAGAAATATACACGTACTGTCCTCATAAAAGCTTGGTCAATCAACACTGACAAATATCATATCAAGCATGCAAGTTAACTAATTTGCATTCAAGCAATAATTTACGTGCAAATTGCATTGTTACAAGTTGTATTTTTCATGTAACTATGATCTTTTATTTATAGAACGTGATATAAGTTCAATGTTATTGCTGAGTAAATGGTCCCAAAAGATTTATGCTTGAATATATTCAAGTTTCAGTAATATTAACCTTTAGAGTATGAAGCAAAAGACTTGAACTATTTCAAGATTTATATAGAGTTATAACTGGGGATCCAAAAAGTTATAGAACTCTTTAACTGATTCTATTTAAAACATGAAACATCTTTAAAAGATGCTCTCATAAGTTCTGGTGAGAAGAGATAAAGAAGAGTTGTTGAAAATAAGTTATAGCTTGAATAGTACTATTCAATGAATATACATAGATATGCATCATACACAGAAGTACTGTACATCTTTAATATACCAGTCTGTTATTCATGTGAATGGTCAATACAATTTTTACTTACCAGTATGCAGATGAATTAAAATACCAGAAAATACAGACTGAGAGCTGTTTTAATAAATTTTTAGTGGGTATTTAGAGTGATTTCATTATCTGTTTAAAAAAATAGGCTCTGTACTCTAAAAGTTAAATATATTGCATTTACAAGTATAATACAAAGAAATATTGCAAGTTGTATTTGGCGTGAACAAGAATACGATAAAATCAGAAAAGCTAATGGGACACTTAACGATATGATGAAGTAACTGAGAACGAAGATGATATCTTGGGAGAAACTGAACGTTGCAGGTGCCACGATACTATATCTAGCTTCTACGTTCGGTTTACATAGTAGATCATAAGCAAACGATGGCGAGCGTTCACGTACGACGTTGAGACAAGTAAAAGACGCAACTAAAAAACGAAAGAAAGAAAAGAACTACATGGGGGTGGATTCCTTATTGCGTACCAACGAAATCCGACGAGAAAATATCTTTAAGCTTGGCTTTCTTCTGAACCTGGTCTTTCTGCGTGTGGTATACTTTACCGCAAACAGTTCCGACATGTAGCATGAGAAAGAAAACAAACGAAAGAAAATAATTTTGCCTTTCTGAGAGAAATCAAAAAAATTACGGAACAAATCCGAAGACGTCTGGCACGTAAGAATTAAACAACGACTGCAACACACAGATCAATATCTTTTGTTATTTTTTTCTTTTTGACTTTTCGATTTATAAAAACGAAAACTTTCGACAAACAAAGAGCCACGATAAAAACCATACACGGATTCGTAAAGCATAGACATCGGATGTCATAAAATAGACCGCGCACGATTTAATCTTGCTTTGGCTGGAATAGAAAATATATGTATATACTCGATGTACGCGGCGCGACTTCGCTTACGAACGATCTTCAGTGGGTGTTTTGGAAAAAATAAGTATCGTTCAACTGTACACCAAATCGAAGATGATATTACCGAGAACAATATCGCACTTTCTTTTCACAGAGGCTTCCTTTTTTATCACGTACCTTCCAACAATCTTTGTATCAGGTTGTCGACGTTCAACTCGACATCCGCCATTTTTTCTTGCCACTGACTGACTGACCCGATGTTTGCAGGCTAGACGATACGTTTGTGTACGCATTTAACTGTATATACGATTCGCGTCGATTTCATGTCTATATGACCATAGACGGGATATATAACAGATCTGTCATCTTACGGAATTCTGTTCTCACGTATTGAAGTACCGACTGAACAGAAAATTGGTGCGACGACTGACACAGGCGCCCTCTGAGAAGTTACTAGGATAGTTGTTTTTCGTCATTAGGTTAAGCTGTACGTAGTAGTTGGTGCGACTGCTTTTTAAAAAAGGCGCGCCAAAAAGCGCACAATCCTTACTTTTCAAATGTTGACAGGAAACGGTCACGTTTCGCCATCTAGCGGTGAAACGGACGAACTAATAAGAAAAAATGTATGTCAGAATAGGCAGATAAGAAAGTTATAAAAAGTCATATTATTATTATTATTATTCACGAAGGAATAATCACCGAAAAAATTGATCCTAAGAAATGAGGGTTCGAACACGCATATAAGGAAAATAAAAAAATGAATATTTCGGCACTTTGGCGACGCAGTATGGTTCCTGAAGCATTTAGAAACAAATTTCTATAAGGGTTTGATGCGTTTTGATGCCTAATAAAGTCAGGAAATCAATTTTTGTCGAATTCGGTCGAAAACGGTACGGGTGGCACCATCTAGCGGCGAGCGGCGGAACTACGAAAAATTAAAATCTCGATT